CACGATGCACGGGATGGACAGCATGTGCAGCACGGTGTGGGCCAGCTTGTTGTACACTCGCTTGCAGCAACGGAATGACCGGTAGACGAGCAGTGCTGCAACCAAAATCACCACGAGTCAGAACATATAAGAAAAATTAAAAAAAATTTAAAAAAAAACCTCATCAAAGCAAAGAATTTTCGCTGACCCAAACAAAATTTTCCAATCCATGCCCAAAATAATCTCGAGAGAAAAAACGTCTTCACAAGCTGATACAGTTGAACCTCGATAACTCCAACCTCCCTAATTATATTTCTTTTTTATGGGCAAGCCCGTCGTGCCTTGCCTATTCAGGTGGAAATAGATAAATTAAATTATACAATAATTAGATAATTAGATTCTTGGAAACTGCCAGAGGGGAATCCAGACACGGAGTTAAAAAAAACATAAACAATTCGAAAAAGGGCGAGGTTCGAGTGATCGAGGGTCCAAGTCTAAATCATTCTCACATTGGCCCATGAAGAAGATGAAGCCTGCAGTCATGAGCACTGGGTGGAGATTGAACTGTCGCTTGATGTCATCTTGCCAGGCGAAACCCTTCCTGTAATAGACTGCCCAGAAGATGACGAGCACCGTGGCTCCCCAGATCAACGTCACGGCGATCAGCAACAAGAACCCGAATCCGCATCTCGTGGCTCCTGTCCATTCGTCGTCGTCCTCCTCTACCGTCTTCCTATGCCTATTGAAATCATTAAAAAAAAAAAGAGAGAAAATAAAACAATAAAATTAAAACCGTAACTCTTGAAAACATCCTCTCTTTCAAATACAATTACAATTTTCAAGACTCTGGAAGAGGATTTAATTTTCAGTAGTCCGTCAAGTAGAAGTTTCTGACGACGAGCCAGATAGCGATTCTAGTGACACCTATCCGGTATCTCATAAAACTCCGCGGTACGGAAAAGTAAAAATGACCGAAAATATCCAACGCTTGGATGAATACAATTTCAATCACGGGAAGAGTATTCAATTACTGCAGTTCGTCATATAAAATTGAGTAATATATAGCGTTCAATGATGAGAGAGTTATTCGAGTGACACCTGTCTGACATCTCGGAAAACGTAATTCGTCAGTTTTTTTTCTGCTCGCCGCGTTACGCACTTAATCCTTGCTGAAAAGTCGAGACAATTTTCACTATTCAGAAAAAATGAAATGTCGAATAAAGCACTTCATTCCGACACCGTAAAAGGCGTATTGGTGTAAATAAAAGTAAAAAGTTCGTCTGGATAACTGCCTGAAGAAATATAGCCGAAGGCCGCGCGGCACCCGGACAAGCCTCTTTCTCCTTTCAACTTTTTTTTTTCCCCTGCGCTCGCTGCGAACTGCATTTATCAGTTGCTGAAAGCGTTGAGAAAATTGCACTCATTAGCGACACACATTCATTCCAAATTTGCTCCTCAATTTTTATTTTACTTTTGTTTTCCTTTGAGCCAGCTATTTTCCCTTTCACTGGTGTGACAGACCACGAGCAGGAAAATTATCCCCGTCGGCGACCACCGATTCGCTGCTCTTTCATCTGCAGCTCGAAGCTTTTTCGTCGCGCTTCTCGCTCCTCACATCCGATCATTTGATGCATGAAAGGTAATGCATTCGACATTATTATTTTTTTAACCAAAACGAAAGGGAAAACAAAGAGGTCAGCTAGTCATACTGGTCAAATGATAGTCGAGAAAATTCTGCATTGTACTCGAGGAAATATCGAGNAGTCGATAAAAAAGCGTCATCGAAAATGTGATTCATGTTAGCTTTGAGCATTATATTTTTCGCGCTTCGTGGGCATAACGATCATCAAACACGAAGTCCTTTCTAGAAGAATTATGTTCAAAAAAAAATTGAAGCGAACTGAGCTCGAAAAAGGACATTATTAGCTAGCTAATTTTCACAGATGTCTTGAGAAATCGACGCGAAAATTCCGAATGGCCTTTTTTTAAATTTTAAAGCAATTGAAGAGGAACACCATCAAAATCTTGGTGGCTCTTTAAGGTAGATAATGTGTCTGAAGAGCCATTCAAGTTTATTATTCTTACTACAGTATTTTATAATTTAAGGCATTTCCGATTTGCACTGCTTGTACAAGAAAAATTCTGGAACAATTCCCCACAAGCTGGGTGTCACAAATAAACCAACGCGAACAAAGCTTTTCTACGCTGCGACAAACTGAAAAAAAAATTGCGACTGTATTTTTTGCTCGCAAAAATACGCACCTGTTCGGCCACATGCAAAAATTGATGATTAGCACGATTAGAACACTTTTTTCACTCTTCAGTCATAACACCAGCAATGTGCCTTTCAGGGGTAAACAATTCAATCAAAACTGCATATCATTGTACCATGACGACAAAAATAATGCAAAAATCCTAAAGGAAAATGTTTAAATCAGAAATTTTTTCGAGAAAGTTCAATAGGTACTGGTTTGCACTACTCTCAATTTAAAATTTTATACTCGTTCGTAAACAGAAAAAAACGCCACTTTCGCTTCAGCTAGTTTTGATTCGACGAGGACTTATCATGTTGAACATTTACGGGCGAAAACCGTCATTAAATCGATTTGTAAAGTTCGTATCAGCAATCTCTAAAAAAAATTAATTTTTTTCTAAAAATGCGCTTCACAATTATCATAAATCATACTTCAGGAGAATAAAAATCCACAAGAAACTACTCAGCGACAGTGCGTTAGTATGTTGAAATCACAGTGAGCACCCCTGTGAAAGAAAACGGGATTCTTTATCAACTTTGTGGGAGGAAAGCAATCTTACTTGAGTAAACAAGGATAAGCTTTGCAACTTGATCAAAATCCGCTTTTTTTTCTTACCAAACTTGAAACTGAGATAAGCATTAAGAGTTTCTGTCAAACACGAGACATCTCCTGAATGAGAAGGAATAGGGTCAGGAGTTTCTCAGATTACAGGTGAAAGTAATCTACAAAAGTGAGGGTTTGCCATTTAATTCAAATTTATTTTTTTGGCACCTTGAGACACCTCAAAGCTATTGGCGTACCAAAAATTTGATTCTATGCACGGGATTTGATTCAAATCCAAAACTTGGCGAGCCATAATTTAAAGAATCATTTTAAATTTCCTTTTTCTTCATTCACTGATACACTGTAAGAATACACAGGGACCTTTCTATTCGTTACTATGGCCTCAGGAATAATTAGACAACGGCATGGAAATGCAATTTCACACACAGTATTATTTACAGAACTATATAAATCGCTGTGTTTCTTCCTTTCTTTCTCAGTCAGATTTCAAGACAAAGGAAGCCCCAATTATATCAAGACCAAAATAATCGATTTCCTCGAAAACACTGAGTTATATTTATCTTTGGCAAAGCAAAAAAAAAAAAAAAGGAATCCAAGAATATTGCGCAGTCAAAAGTTCCACAGCGCTTCAATACTCCACCTTTAATTCATGAAAAATATGCGAAAATCAGCAGCCTTCAATCATTCGGTAATTTATCTTGACTTCCAACCCGCGGTTATTATCGCAAGGGTAACATGTATACATAAACCTCTTTTCTAAGAAACTTCACTCAAACAGTCGATAAGAGTACCGTCAAATACAATTTCGATAACGCCTTCGAGCGAAGATTGAAAATGCATCTCGCTCATCTGCAGAAAGATTCTACGAAACCCTTCCGAAAGAAAAATTGAGTGAGTCACTAGAAAAGATATTCAAGTGATATGATAATCAATACCACGTGTTCCAGATTTTCCACTGATAGAATAACTTTCGAAAAATTTAGCTTAATGTCCCAAGGAAAAAAACACGTGGGGGCGTTTCAGACCGGTAACTGAACACAGAAATCGGATCCCTAGAAGTACATTATTTGAAGTTGCATGTGCTCTTAATTTTTTTTTTTTTTGCTGTGTGAAAGAATTGTCACGCATGAAGTACAAAAAACAGAGATTTTCCGTAATTTTACTGTGCTGTGCAAAATAAAAAAAGCCGAGTTTCGCGAATTTCAACTTTTCAAGTCTCGAGTGAAAACGCACGCGAAATACATATGATCTTCTTCACGTGATTGCGTTGAAAAATTTGCGTCAACATCGTTGAATGCGAGAAAGAAAGGTCCTCGATTTCACAAAAATTTCAGAGAGAACCCTCGCAATTTTAATTCAGCAATGCTCATTCCCGAATAAGAAGATGGGTTTCGAAGTTGCAGGGCTTGCACATTTGAAACGGATCAGCGCAAAATTAAAATGAAACGGTAACTGAGAGTGACATCTACCTAACGGAGGAATTTTATCTAGTCTAATGAAAAACGTGTCAATGCTGGATACCCAACTTTCCAAAGCTTAATACTGTACAGTACTTTCTTATACATCCCCCAACACCATCGTTATGAATTGGTTACGCATGCCTTATCCTGCATAATTCACTTTCCCTCGTCTTCCATTTTAACATGTCCCATAAAAATGATTGCCTTTACCTTCAGTGTTATGCTTTGGTTCTTTCGTAAGGATGATGCGATCACCAAAACGCGTTTCAACCAAATCCGACAAGAATTAAAAGCAGTTTCTGGCGCAATTTTAATCCGCAGGCGAACAGGTAGAAACGAGAAACCTCATATTTTTCAACAAAAACATTGCTAAAAAAGTCGTAACCGAATGCAGATACAGTATTACAGGTCGAACGGCCAGCAAATTTCGTGACACGAAAAAAAAAATTAACTTCACGCCGATTTCTTGCGATTTTTGCAGCGGGACTTTTTACGGATACAATATAATATACATGGCTCCACTCCTTAAAAAAAACGCTAACATCGAGTTGCCTTCGATTTTATTGGTTCACATATCAATGCTTTATTTTTTGGGGATCGAGATCAAGAAACGATCATGCAAATTTCGGGGAGCAAAAACGTTTAAGCAAAATTCCCTCGTATCTCCAGCTGCGAATATAATCATTTCTTTTCCGAGAAAAGCCTGCAAAAAGTATCACAGCATTACTCTGGAGTCTGGACATGCAAAAAAAAAACGAAAATCAGTTTTTCTCCAGTATTGCATATGCAAGCAATTCTTTTATAACGGGGAGATTGGTACTTTTTCAACTGTCAAAATGGAAAAAAATGAGACCACCGAATGCGGCTATTAATTCAGAATGGCATAAAAATAAAAATCCGAAGAATGCAAAAGTCGAAGGACATTCTCGGCAAAATTCCCGGATTGCCATAAATTTAAAGAGAGTTGCAAAAACACAAGGCCAGAAATAATGCACCGAAAAGGTCGATTATTTATCTGTGTCAGGATATATCACATACGAAAAAAAAGACCAAGATTATAAAAATTCAAAATGCAGTTTTCTCGAAACACAGCACTCACCAAACCGGCCGAGAAACAATCATCGCATCAGAACCTAATCAAGCAACGCATTTCCAATAATGTACAAATACCTGGGCTATGAATCGATTAATTTCAAACACTCGTGTAGAGAACCTGATGGACGGAGAAAAAAAGCAAGAAAATTTCATTCGAAACCGAAGCAATCGCGAACATATTTACAGTGACTGATTTTCATAAAGCATCAAACTTAATTCAAATAAAAAGCTCATGAACCGGCAATGCCATGAATAAACATGAACGGACATTTTCTTGAAATTCAACAAAGCAATCCGAAATTCGACACATACGAGGGATAGTTCTTGACTTTCGTCAGCACATTGAAAAAAATCGTTCGGGCAACCAATTTTCTGATTTTTTTTTTTTGCATAAGAGAACAAGACAAAAACGGCACTATTCATTTGACGAAGAATTCCTTCAATTTCAGCAACAAATTATTTTCACGACGATGGAAATTTTAGAAAACCTTTTGAACGAAATACGAGTAACAGGAATATCGATGAGATCAGAAAATCGTTTCTACACAAAGATAAGATACTCCTGTTTGAAATATTCACCAGAGAATTCATAAATCCTTCGGTAAATCGAATTTTGAACGGCGATGAGGTGCACTATTTTTTTTTTATTTTCTCCATAGAAATTGAGAATAGTGGGCGTTAATTCATAAAATATTAATAAAATAAAATGATATCCATTTCCATCCATGACTCCAAAACAAGGGGAAGCAACAAGACTGACAAAAAAACTTGTGAACCAACCCTCGCAAGAAAAAAAAAAAAAAACCCCGTTTCGCAGTTTCGAAATGTGACGAAGAATTCGATTACGCGGCATCGTAATTGCACCAAGTCTCAAATGATTTCATTCAACGTTGCTCAGGGAAGGAAATGGGGAAGTGAAATCCGACCCACAAATCGCGCAATACCGACCAACAATCACGATTCGGTCTCTATACAACCTCAGCTTGCAACACACTTCCAAAGCGAAACTCTGTTCACTTGCTTTTTAAAAAATCCTTCCTTTTTTTTGGCACACAGAGCTTTTAAACGGTTTTGTCGGAATCAAGGATACAAATTTTGGCGCTGGAATTGAACTTTTCATCCAGTTAAAAGAAATACAGGTGACCCAAAAGAAGAACAATTTGCGGAAAGGTTGGAAGCGAGAATTCAATCATATTTCGGGGTCGAGAATCTGGGGCATCCTTTCCTTCATTTCAATAACTTGCTTCAGTTTGACGATCGTTTTCTCAATCAAGTCAATTCCTGATATACGGGGCATTTTTTGGATTCTTCTCGGAAGAATTTTAATCGAAGCTATGTCGAATAATTCTTTCCGTGAATTCCTTTTTCTCTCCTATCATGACTAACGAAATTCGATTAAAAAATTACTGTAAAGGCTTTCCGTCTTCTTCTCCTTCGGATCTTTAAAAGTCTCCGCAAATATCATGCCCGGAATTTTTTAGATCTTCAAGAATCGTTCAAAGTTATATCGTCATTAAATTATCAACATACGGTAGATAGGAAAGACAACTGCCATAGGTTTCAAAATTTAAAACGAATGCTGGTTTATAAATCATCAGATTCCTGACGATAAGTTTACTCTTCGCGAGCCAGACACATCCGGAAACAAAAATTTGTTTCGATGCAAAAATGACCTAAAATTTTTATATTTTGGAATAAGCACAATCCCTGAGAATATTTCACAGATAGTAGATCACCAAAGAGAAGAAGCTGATTAAAACCAAAACGTGTCATAGATGTAATGAAATCATTGCTTCATAACCCTCATAATGCGTTTAAAGTTTTTTATTTATTGAAAAAAAACTGGATCGTAACGAAAATTCCAGCATGAATGAAACATTCTGATCGAATTCCGTACATTGA